AATAAATAAACACATTATTAATTTTCATATTAAAAAAATAATAATAATAAATAAATAAATAAATAATAAAAATTTTTGCAAATTTACGGAGGAAAAATCCCTTTTTTTAAAAAATGAAAATTTTTTTTTTTTTTTATTGAAATTAAATTAAAACCGTGAAAAAAAAGTAATAATAATAATAATAATAATAATAATAATAATAATAATAATAATGATAATAAAAACCGAATAATGAAATTATAGTAATGTAAATTACATAATTTTTATTTTTTTTTATATAATACGTATAATCTACTCCGTAGTGCTCGTTTGCTATGTATATATATAAAAAAAATAAATAAATAAATTGTTTGACATACCTCCCTTAAAAAAAAAAAAAAAAAAAAAATTTATTGGGTTTACCAGTAAATTAACTTTTCCCCTCTCCCTACCCCCTTACCCCCCTCTCTCTCCCTTCCTCCCTTTTCCTTTTGGATCCCCTCGCTTTATTATACAAGACGAAACATGACCGGTTTATTTTAACTTTTTTTTTTTTTTTTTATTTTATTTTTAAATTTATTGAAATAATAGAATCGAAGTAAGAATTAGAGCTGAAAAAAAAAAAAAAAAAAAAAAAATTTTAAATGATACGGGGGGAGGGGGCGAGGGACGGGGGGAAACAAAAAAAAAACGATTTTCTTACGATAATTATAATAAAACAAATGTTAATACGAACCGATCGAAATGTTTTTTTTTTTTTTTTATTTTTCCATAGGAAATTCACTTTTTTAAACCCCCCCCTCCGCCATTTTTAAAACGAGTGCATTTAAAAAAAAATTTGACCGAGGAATTATTTTAATACCGACTCGATCACAAATCGATGATAATAATAATAATAATAATAATTTCTAAACTCATATACACTCTCTCAAGCAAATTTAAACAGGTTAAAAATAAATTATTCGAAAGTATATATATATATATATCCTTTCTTTTTACTCTCGATTTTTTTTTTTTTTTATCGATATCACTACTTGCCTCAAATGACAAATTCAACGACAACAGGTAAAATAATAATAATAATAATAATAATAATAGTAATTTTTTTTTCTTATGCTCCTAAGCCTTGAGTAAATTTTCTTAACAGAAAACTTTTTTTAATCGATACGAAAAAGATGAAAAAACAAAAAAAAAAAAAAAAATTTAAACTCATTAAGGGAAAATTTTTTTAGTGAACTTTCCTCTACATTTTCTTTTTATTATTATTATTATTCTCAATGAATCAATCAACACGGGGGGGAGGGGAGGGGAAACTCGAAAACAAAACAAAATAATTCAAGACGAGAAAACAAATACAATTACATAACATTTAGCGTTTAAGGGGTCAGGTCGAAACGAATTAAATAATAGAAATTTCTATTTTCGAATAAATAAATAAATAAATAAGTCACAGAATCTCGGACGGACGGTCTTCTAATACGAAAAAACTTCTTTTTCTTTATTAATTTTGTATCGATATTTAAAATTAAAAAAAAAAAAAAAAAGAAAAGAGAAAAAAAGAAAAACACAATATGCGAGATTTTTGACCCAAAAAATCTTCGATGGTGTAACAAGGACGAATTAATTTTTAAAGGCATTGTACGTTCGAATTTTATTAGTTTAAATGCGAAAATGATGTCAGGGTTTCATAAGATCGAAACAAAATCTGAAGTTCCAAATTTAAAAAAAAAAATAAAAACAATTTTTAAACACTCTCCGTGAAATATTATTTCCCATTTACTTCCACGAAACTCTCGCCCCACCCCTTTCCCCCCTACCCTCCCCTCCCCACGATTCGTTTGCTTTCCAAGCATGTAAAAAAAATTAAAGCAGGCACAATTCATCCCCTTTTCGAATCTATAAAAATTACAATAATAATAATAATAATAATAGACGTGAAAATTAAGATACGCAGAAACTGAATATCAATCAATCGAAAGATACTTTCTCATTTTTTTAGAGAAACTAAAACGTTGCCTGATGATAATGATAATAAAATGAAATCAAAATTACGACCTGAACCTATGGGTAGGACATTAGGGTTTTTGGAGCGTTTGCAAAGTAGTGGAAAGTTGACAATTCGCCTTGAGGCTACGTAGGCGGTTAAAAAAAAAAAAAAAAAAAAAAAAAAAAGGAGAAAACTTATGGTGTGATCCTGGTTTACCTCCTCTTTCACGAAACTCACATTGAGGTTGAATTCATTTTACAAAATTAAATAATAAATATTATTGACATTTCACTTATTTTTTTTTTAACCGTTCAGAAACGAAATTTTTTTTTTTTTTTAAGAAAACGAAATTATTACTAATAAAAATGTGATATGAGTCTCGTTGCTTGAAAACCCAATGCAAATAATTATTTTATTTCCTGTGCGTCAGGAAAACGATTCGAATTTTAAGACACAACAATCGATTAATTACATTGAATTTTTTTTTTTTTTTTCTCCATGCAATCAACTACTGTTAACAATTAACTAAATTTTTTTTTTTTTTTGCCTCCCCCCCTTACTTGTAAATACTATTTTTAAAATAAATAAATAAATAAATAAATAAAAAAATCAATTTCAAAAAAACAAAAATAAAAACGAGGACCCCCTCCATACGATCCTCGCTCAAGCAAGGGATTATGAATACTATCAATTACATACATTTGACCTACTGTTCCGCAATTTAGCTCATGGTCGCACTGCTCCAATGGCAAATAAAGATAGTAGTTTCTTATTACACAGACTAAAAGTCTCCAAGGGATGACACCATGCAACCAAAAACAAACAAAAAAAAAAAAAAAACTGGAAAATCCTACACGACTTATAAATTTTCTTCGAAATAATTCAACAGTAACCACCCAAAGAAAAAAACAAAAATTACCTTTTCACATTTGCCAATTAACAATACCAAAATATTCTAGTTTTTTTTTTTTTTTTTTTTTTTTACACACCTTTTCATTGATTGGTCAAAATATTAATATTATTATTATTATTTTAAGAAAAAATCAATTTTAAAATTATTATCGAGAACAAAAAAACCACGACAAATTTTTAGTTTTGAACCTAAAGTGCAACAATTTTCAACACACATTTTAAAAGTTCCCTTAATTAAAAGATTTTAATGTTATTAATAATAATAATATTAATAATAAAAATTATAATAAACTAATAATTAATAAAGTTAAATAATGTAAAAGAAACGGGAATTTTTTTTTTAAAATGTATCGAATTATAACTTACCGAAACATAAGGTAAACACATTGAATTGATATCTTCACTCTGCGAAAGAAAAATTTGAATATAATTATTCCTGCAAATAAATAAATAAATAAAATAATAATTAGGATATTAAAATATTGTTTTGTACAAGTAATTTATATTTTGTAATCGGTTAAAACTATAATTCAAAAGCAGCATTCCTATAATAGATTTTGAATAAGTTGCGAATGTACGAATATACTTAAAAAAAAAAATTATAACAGGAAAGGAATAAAATGTGACTAAACAATTTAAATATGAAATTTTGAAAAATTTATTTAAAATCGATTAAACAATTATTTCGACTCCAGTAAAAAAATACATTTTTAAAATTTTTAATTAAATAAAATTATGCAATTGAATTTTTAAGTAATAAAAAAAAATTTTTTTAATTTTAAAATTGACTATGAAAAGTGAAATTAAATTATTATTATTATTATTATTATTATTATTGAAAGCATAAAATTTTTTATTGATTAATTAATTTTTGTAAAGTAAAAAATTTAATTTATGTAATTTTTTTTTTTTATATCAGAAATTTAATATAACCTAACCTCTACAAAAAAAATTACAAGAATTATTTTATTTTTTTTAAATGAAAATAATTGATTTAGGATATGTGTGTTCAATCACATTTGTTAAAATAAAATAAATTATTAAATTTTTTAAAATTTTTCATTGAAATAATTTTATTTTGAAAAAACATTATAATAAAATTTACACTTGATAAATTTTTTTTTTTGATTTGACACAAAGTGTAAAATTTTAAACAATTGGTTCGACTATAACTTACTTCCTATTGTGAACCATCAGTAATTATGAATTTAAGAGGTTATTAAATTACTTAAGGGACGTCCTTCATGTAAATGTGGCAACTTCATTATGAACAATCTGTTGCCTGCCTACATTTGAAACTAATAAACACTTATAATGGCCTTCAATAAAAAATTTGAAAAAGATTTTGGAAAAATGTCATATTTTTTTTTTTTTTTACACATAATTTACGTTGAGCTTTTTTTTCTCACGGTAGAAATACTTATTAAAGTCAAGGACAATAATTTTAAGAATGATTTAGAATTATTTTTAGTCTTAACTTAAAAGGTTGATATGAATATGAAAGTTTACCTTTTGTCTTTAAACAGCTGGTGATTAATTACACATAACAGTTTATCAGTTCACTTAGTTTAATTTCACTTTACGCGAGAAAAAATTTCGTTGAATATTCCATTTAAACTTAAAAAATTAATTAATATTTTATTAGTTTCTGACAAATGCCAACTGACGCCATGTTTAAATTCTGTATTATTTGCACGATAAAACATTCCAAAGTCACGTCTACTTCCGCGCGCTTTCCTAATGACATTCATGCGGTATTAAACGTTGTCATTCAAGGGTATGATGAATATAATAAAAATTTATTATTAAAATAAATAAAAAAAAAGTTAGAGCCTGAGTATTTTCTCTAAAGAAAACTTTTCCATAACTAATAATATTGAAAATATTGTCATTTAATATAAACAAATTTAAAATAGAATATAAATAGAAAAGTAAAAATATTTTTTAATATACAAAACAATGATACATTTCATTTTTATGATTGAAATGCAATACATATATGTATTAAAATATTCTTTTATTTTTAAGCAGTCATAATTATAAATATTAAAGCTAGTTTTTAATTGACAAAAGTATGTGTACAATTGTTGCGTAGGAGTTCAATTACAAAAAATCATTACTACTACGAGTTCCATGTTTTGTGAAGATTTTTTAAAAATTCATGAGCACGTTTACTAATATTTAATGCAGGATCTAATTGCAGCAATGACTCTTCATTCATTAAACTTAATCCACATAATCCTGCAAAGTAAAAATCTTTTAATAACTCATTATTATTATCTATTATAAAAATAAAAAAATGATAAATATTAAACCTAAATAAGTATGCAACGGGTCCGTGTAAATATTTGGTCCTTTAGCAAAACCCCCAAGTATATCATCTTGAGTTGACAAAATATATTCTCTATTACTTTTCATATCAATTTTATCTAATGCATTTAATAAATGAAGCGCACCACCCAACCAAAATGAATAACATGTGTCTACAAGTTTATTAGGTCTTCCTTGAAATCCTGAAACTTGTCTATTAACACACCACCTAATCAATTGTGCTATCTAAAAAAAAAAAAAAAAAAATCAAAATAATAAGTGACTAATGGTTTTAAAATAATTTGGAATTTTTTAAAATTATTTTTACTTGTTTTTCGCTAAAAATTTCATTTAAAAGACCACATAGATGTGAAGCAGCTACTGCGCAAAAAGTACTTCCTCCATGACTTTCCAATTCTGGACCCTGTCCTATTCCGCCATCATAATTTATACTTGATGTTATAAACTTTCTTAATTTAATTAAATCTAGAGCTTTAAAATCATTTAAAAAATATGATATGCATGCTGCACAGTAAACAAATCTCATATCTGATTCTTCATGATTTGCAGCGCAAAAACTGAAAAATATTATTTTGTAAATTGTTAAAATTAAAATCATTTTTAAAAACGAAATAAACGATAATTACTCAACGAATACAACCTTCCATTTTCCAATTGCAAAGCTTTTAAACCTCCAAGAACGGCTTCTTTATTAACTTTAGATAAGTCATCTCCTAAAATAATGAGAATTGCCAAGCCTGTATATGTCATAACAATATGTCCCTTTTCATAGCCATGGTCAACTCCTTTAATTATATGTGTATATGATCCCTAAAACAATTAAGATAATAAAACAATTTTAAATCGTTTGAAAAGAAAAAAAAATTAAATTGAAAAAAAAAAAAGTATACCTGAAATCCACATCTATCTATAGAATAAGAACCCTTTGGTAAAATTTGTAATCCATATACCCACTCAATGATATGTAATTTATCTTCATTAGAAATTGTATCTAAAGCATTTAATAAATCTAAACCTGAAATAGCTAGGAAAGCTAAGTAAAGTCTAGAAAAAAAAAAAAAAAAAAAAAAACAAAAAAAAAACAAAAACTACAACAAATTTCTCTAATTCATAAAGACTTGAAACATCTCAAATTTATATTTGACCATTTTTTTTTTTTAAATTTACAAAAAAATTAAAAAAATTTACCTGGAACAATCTTGATAAGATGTATATGCTGGACTAAAATGTAAAAATCTTTGAAAATATTTTACATGCTGTTTATGAGCTAAATCAAAAGTTGTCAATTTTTCATCTTTGTCTTCTATATTTTCCATTTTAATTTACAAACTATTGAATAATTAATATATCATACTGCACAAATTTGTAATAATGTGTAATAATAACTTTTATTCGGGCAAAAAAATATAAAAAAAATTATTAATTCGTTAATAAAAAAACATTAAATAATAATAATTGAAAAATCTTGATGATTAAAATTTTACTTTTTATTACGATTCGTAATCCTTCGTATCCGGCTTTCAGTTGTTTTTCTTTCAATTGTTGGCCATCTTATTAAATGTCGTCTGCTATTTTACGGATCAGATTACTGTTTCTACTGAAATATTAATAAAAAAATACACTCTTATTTTGGTTATTTTCCCCTCTCCGTCCAAGACTTTTTTAAACTTTTTTTTAAAGTTTATTTCAAGTAACTCATTTTGTAAAACAATTTTTATTACATATGACTTTCCATGTCAACAATTATTTAATAAACAATTTTTAGTATTCAAATCTGAAAAATTTATTTCTACTCTTCATCTTTATTATTTACAATTTTTAAAAAAATGATTTTAAAAGAAGCACAAAATAAATTTTTAAATTTAATGAGAGAAATAAATTCGGAAAAGGATAAAACTGAATTTTTAAAATGGATTTCATATAATTGGGATTTAGGTATGAGTTACTAACCTTACCTCCTTGTTTTCTTGTAGTTTTCTACATCTGACATTTTTATTTTTTATTGTTTTACATAAGAAAATTTAAATGATGCTGAGGAAAAAGATTCCGGAAAAGAAATATTAAATGCAATCGCTGAAGAATTACGTCCTATGGTTCCTTTTAATGCTATTTTACCTTCTGAAAATATATGCATGCCTTCATACGGACCAGTTGGTATTAATATTTCAATTTTGAAATTTTTTTTTTTTAAATCTTAAATCTAAAAATTAATCATTATTACACATTTTATTCAAATCAAAAACAGAATTCAGACTGCAAATCTATTAATACAATACATGTGGATGAATTTTTATATGATGATGATTACATAAATAAATTAATCGATGATGGAGAATTGTCTAGACATTATTGCGGAAAATGCTTTAGTAAAGATATTAAATTATTAAGTATGTCACTACAAACTTACACTTTTTAATATTAATATTATTTGATAGATACAGTGATTACATACAATGCTTAACATAAATAAAAAATATTTATTAAATTTCAGCTTTCATTTCACATTCCATGTCGATTAGTAGAATTCATTATGTGTTTAAATATCTATTAAAGCCATTGGAAACTGAAACGATATTAGATGTGGGGTCAAGATTAGGTCCTGTTTTATATGGGGCCTACATTTACACATCAAGTCCAAATATAATTGGAGTTGAAATTAATTCAGAACTTTGTAATTTCCAATCGATAATTGTAAAAAAATTTAATTTCGATGATAGAATTAAAATTGTGTGTAACAACATATTCAATTGTATGGATATAGTAAGTATTTAATTAAATAAAATACTAATTTGTTCTTTTCTTAGCTTTTGTTTATTAAATTTTAATTACAATTAAATAAATTTCAGTTATCTTCTGCGGATGTAATTATTTTAAATAACGTTTTTGAATTTTTCGGTGACGGTGACACATCAATTTCTTCATGGCAGTTGTTGGCGAAGACGATTAAAATCGGTTGTATCATCGTAACGGTTCCTCATTTGGAAGAAACATTTAAACATTTTAAAGTACGAAAATTTTCATTTTCAAACAAGTTTCATTTATAAATTTCAAATTATAAAAATTAAATTTATTTTTTTTTTTTTTTTTTTTTAGGTAAATTTTGATTGGAAAGATTGGGTCGACGAATTAGAACCGTACGAAAAAAATTTTTATGGAGACGATGATGAAGAATATGAAAATCATGCAAAAAATGTTAAGCATTATATGGTTAAAAAAAAATTTGATAATTTTTAAAAAATGAAAACAATTTGATGAGAAATAATTAAAACTCTAATTAAACTAAATAATTAATTAGTTAATAAGAATTTAAATTTGTTTAGATTTTCCCTATTGATAATAAATCGCCAAAGGGAATAATATTTAAAAAAAAACAAACAATTTTACAACATGCCATAATCATTTATCATGCACAAAATAATAATAATAATAATAAAACTGAGGGGGAGAAAAATCGAAAAAAAAATAAGGAACCGAGAAAGGAAAATCTACAAGGGAAATATATTAATTAATAAATTTATCATCATCATCATCATCATCTATTTGATTTTTCTAAAATCTAATTAATTATTAAGCCTTTTAAAAATTTTTTTTTTTTTTTTTTCTAATAGAACTCAATTTTTTATTTTAAAACGATTAAACTTCTGCTATTTCTTTATTTCTAAAAATTATTTATCTATTTTAAAAAAATTTTTCTATAATAAATAAATAAATAAATAAATAAAAATCGAGTAATTAAAGAGCATATTTAACAAAATTTGCCCCTCTTTTTACTCGATTTAAAAATCTTTAAACTTTTTTAATAACATAATAAACTGTTAAAATGATTATTATTATTATTATTATTTTATATTGTTTGTTTGTTTTTATTTCGATATATGACAATTTAAAAAAAAATTAAAAAATTAAATTAAATTTAAATTAAAATTGACAAACGCTCTCTGTTTTTTTCTTTTTCTTTTCTGTTCTATCGTTTAAATAATAATAATAATAATAATAATAAAAGCAAATAATTTTTTTGTCATTTAATTATCATTTTATTATTATATTTTTTAAAATTTTTTTAATTATCCTTTTTAAAAAACAATTATTTCATTATTATTATCATATCATCATACAAATAGAAAAAAATCTTTTTTTTTTTTCATTTTCACAATCGAATTAAAATGAATTTAAATATTAAATTTATATTTACCACCGTCGTATATCAACAAATTTAATTAGTTTAATTTAATTAATTAATTTTTTTGGAAGAACTTTTGGAAAATTATAACAATTTCCATGTGAACTAATAAATATAGAAAAATAGAAAAAGAAAAGAAAAGAAAAGTCAACGTCGCAAAAAAACTATAACGTCATTTTTTTCCCCAAATAAAATTCATTTGACTTTTTTTTTTTTTTTTTTGCAATAATCAATCAATAAATCAATAATTTGATGAATTTGTAATAAAATAAAATAAAGAATTTAAATCGTTATTATACTAAAAAAGATTGTTGTTGTCAATTGAGCCTCGTCAAAAAAAAAATTTTCTTTTTTTTTCATTCTCTAATATTTTTTTTTTTAATTACATCATTCTAATAATAATAATAATAATAATAATAATAATAATAATAATAATAATAATAATAATAATAATAATAATAATAATAATAATAGGGATCACATATAAACTGAATCTTTGGCTTAATTAAATAATAATAATAATACTAATACAATAACAATATCAAAATTAATTAATTAAATACATTTCTTTTCTTTTGCTATTTTTTTTTTTTAAAATTTCTAACCATTAAAAAAATTTTTTTCTAAAAACAAACATTTTTAATTTAATTTGAAACACGGGAATCTACAGACGATGACAAAATAATAATAATAATAATAATAATAATAATAATAATAATAATAATAATAATAATAATAATAATAATTAAAAAACTCCGTTTATTAAAGAACACATTTAAAAAAATTCATTTGATTGTCCTCCATATATTATATTAGGACACTATGCCTTTTTTTTTGTTTTTGTTTTTTTTAATAATAATAATAGTAGTTTAACATTATCATCAATTATCATTATCATTATCATTATCATTATCATTATTATTATTAATATTTATAATTTTTAACCTACCGAAAAAAAAAAAATAAAAGTGAAAACAAAATAACCATGCGGTCGGTAATTCTTCAAGCGATTATTAATTTATTAACTCCTTTTTTTTTCTAACTAAATACAATTTTTAATTTCTAACAAATAAATTTTATTATTATTATTATTATTATTAATTATTGATTTAAATTATCATTATCATTATTAATTATTTATCCGATTTTTAAAAAATCTAAACGTGGGGGGAAAAAAATTTGAAACAATTTTTAAAAAAAAACTAACATGATTTCATTACTTTTAATATTATTATCATTATTAATATTATTATTAACGTTAAATCAATAACAAATCGATATTGTTTAATAATAATAATAATAAATTCGCTTGAAGATTACTTTAACATGCAAGTAAAGATTTTTTTTTTTTTAAAACTTTACAAAATAAAACCAATAAAATAATTTGAAACTAAATTTTTAATTTTTTTTTTTTTTTTAATCTAAAACTTTTAAAACTTTTTTATTTATTTATTTATTTATTTACTTATTTATGTATTTATTCATTTCTAATTATTATTAAAACGTAAAGTAAAAAGTTGTAAGTAATGCAATAATACACATCATCATCATCATCATCATCAACTTTTATTAATAATTAATAATTATTAAATAATTATATAATGCTAATAATAATATATTTAATTAAAATGAATTTTATTATAATAACACATTTATTTATTTATTATTATTATTATTATTATTATTATTATTATTATTATATAAATAATACATTTATTTTTTTTTTTTTTTGGGTTATTAAATTTTATTTATGTTTAATAACACGAATAATTTTTTTTATTTTTCTTTCTATTATTTTGGCATCGAAAAATTATTCAAGCATTTTTTTTCATTCTCCCTATCATTATTATCATTATCATTATCATTATTATTATTATTATTATCGATATCATTCCGTATACTTTTCAAACGGATAATTTTTGACACTTTTTTTTTTTTATTAAGAAAACAAACAAAAACAAAAAAAATAAACAAATTTTTTTTCTTTCGGTTCAATGACCTTTAATAATAATAAATTTGGCACGATAATAAATATTTTTGGCAAAATAAAAATATTTGCGACACAAATTTACATTAAATTAATAATAATAATAATAATATTTTTACATTTGATACCGATTCCTCCCCCCGAAAAAAATTAAAATTAAAAAGGTACAATAATAATTTGATGGGGGGGGGAGGGGTAAAAAAAAAAAATTCGATATGTTAAACATACAAAAATGAGGGGATATGAAATCAACGATATGGTTAATGTATTTAAAAAATTTTCTTTACTGATATGACTAATTCTAAGAGATTATTAATTGAGATCACAACTAGGAACAATTTAAATTTAAATTTAAATTTAAATTTATTTATTAACCTTTTCAAAAAAAAAAAAAAAACTTATCGATAACGACACACGTACTTATTTATTTATTATTTATTTATGTATCAGGTACCCATCACGTCTATGTAAAGGTACGACGCATATGCAATCGATTAATTATAATACATATTACAAAATTACACGTATGTATGTGTATATATATATAAATTTTACCATTAAAAGGGGAGGGGTGTGAAATGGGGTGGGAAAAGGGGAGGAGGGGGATGAAGAGGGGAGGAGGAGAAGGGGGCGGGGAAAATTTGGCCCGTTAGATATGGGGTAAATAGGTATAAATACGAAATTTTAAAAAATTACATTTTTTTTTGCTATGATTCAAAAGAGTCGCTATGAGCAATTTAGGAAGACGAAAAAACATTTTGGTGAATCGTTATACAAATAATAATAATAATAATAATAATAATAATAATAATAATAATACCGAAATTCGAATATTTGTCCCTAAGGAATCGGGTAGAAACCTCGGATAAATACTTAAAACCCTGACAAATAGCCTTGTCGTGTTTAATGGTGGATAATAATAATAATAATAGTAATAATAATAATAATAATAAATTTTTAAATGGTAATTTTTTTTATCATCATTTTAAATTATTCAATTATTATTATTAATTTTTTTTTTTTACTTCTTTTCTACCCTAAATTTTTAATAAATAATGTCAAAAATTAAAACAATAAAATTAATTAATAAAATTTTCTAAAATAATTAATCAATCAATCACCGACTCCTCTCAATACCCTTGTGTTTTATAAATAATAAATCGATAAATTTTCAAATAAATAAATAAATAATTATGAAAAATAATTATCATTATCTTAACAAATTAATCGAATAAATAAATCATCGTCGTTAATAATTTTTTTTCCAAATTATTTTTTTCAAACAGTAACAAATTTAAAAAAAAAAAAAAAAAAAAAAAACAATATACCCCCCCGTGTATGCACGTATTATTATTATTATTATTATTATTTATTCCACGTCACAAATAAAATTATAATTATTATCAATATTTATTATTATTATTAGTTTTTTTTTTTTTTTAACGCAACGTTTCCTTTTTTAATTATCATTATTTTTTTGATTCTCATCAATATTAAATATTAATAAATAATAATAATAATTATAATAATAAATAATCCGTACCGACTTACAACGTTGCATTCAAATAAAATTCAAATGGTAATAATAATAATAATAATTTTTTTTTACAATTTCAATTGTAACATTCCCTTACTTAAAAAATTATCGGGGATAAAATTTTATTATTATTATTATTATTCGAGTATTTATTTCATTTATTTATTTATTTATTTTGTTTAAAAATTTACGTTTTGTTGACATTTTTTATTAAAAACAAAATTCGGTTACAAAGATATGAAGAAAAGAGTGAGAAAGAGAGAGAGAGAGAGAGAGAGAGAGAGAAAACAATACGAATGATATGATGTAATTAATAATAATCATAATAATAATAATAATAATAATAATAATAATTGATATTGTTTTTTTTTAGCATCTACGACAAACTATTTAAAATACCGTCATCGAGTTAATAATTAAATAATTTTTTTTTTTTTTTTTTTTTTAATTCACGTTAAATCAAACATCATTAATTATTAATAATAAATAAATCGATCGTTACGATCAATAAATTGATAGTAAATAATCAATAAATATCGAGAGATGTATTAATCCATTCATCCCTCCCTCCCTCATCCTCTTCCTTCATTTGTTTTTTTCTTAATTTTTTTAATTTTTAATACCAATTATATAAAAATAACTTTTGATAATAATAATAATAATAATAATAATAATAACGTAATAATCATATTCTACACATATATAATATTTATATATATATATATATATATATACACATAATAAATGCATTTTTGCCTTTTTTTATTATTATTATTATTTAATTTACTCCTCTTTCTTCTTTTCATTTATTGTTAAATTTTATTATTTACCCCCTTCGTACGTTTAATAAATAAAATTACATAAGTAAATAACAAAGCTCTTTTGCTCATTAAATACACGTACAAATAAATAAATAAATAAATAAATAAATATATAAATAAATAATTTAATTAATTAATTAATTAAAATCACGTTTTAATATTTTTTTTTTTTTTGTTTTTCTTTTAATTTGATCCCACGACTTAATTGATTTTTATTTTGTTTTATGTTTTTGTTTTTGTTCATGGCCAAAACAAAGTAATATAAATAAAATAAATAATTATTAATAATTACAAACAATTAATAATAATAATAATAATATTTTTTTAAAACAACAAACACACCTAAAAAAATAGAAAAATTAATACACACACTACAGTTTACTTTCGATTTTTGTCTCCTTTTGTTTTTGTACAACGAATTTAATAATGAATTATTTAATTAATTAATACATATATGTATAAATTATTGATTAATAAATTGGATTATTAAATTATGTAAATAAATAAGTACATAAATAAAATTATTATTATGATTATGATTATGAGTATTATTTATAACTTCGAAAAATGGAAGTTCATTTTTTTTCAAATGATTTGTATTCTAAAATAATTTTAACAAATATTGTCGAAAAAATTATTATTAATATTATTATTATTATTATTATTATTATTACAAATAACTTTTCTTTTTTAATAATTTCATACTCCCCCGCCCCCCTCCACCTCCTCCCCCCCGATTATTAATTAATTTAATAGTAATATATATATATATATTCACAACCGAAAAAAATTTATATTGCATTTTTAATATGACATAGCCTCAGAGAGCTACGAGTTAAAATACCAAATAAAAAAAATTTTAATAATAATAATAATAAAAATAATAATAATAATAATAATAATAAAAAAGGAAGAAATTAACTTTTGTTACATTTTTTCCAAAATAAAATAAAATTTTAAAGTTTAACTTAATCAACAATAATTTTTAAAAAAAAAATAACGATCGCCATTTTTAAATCATTATTTAAATAAATAAATATTTTATTCATCGCGAAAATACTTTGATAATTCACAACCATTATTATTATTATTATTATCAATATTAATATTTAATAATATTTATGTACAACAAAATAAATAAATAAAAAAAAAAAAAAAAGTAAAACGAAATCAACATTTCAAAATAATCACGTGGTAGTCAATGAAATTATTAAATTAATAAATTAATTAATAAATAAAATATCACGAAAGACTAGATTGAATACAAATCACCTTTACGCATGTGTGTGCG